GCTGTGTTAATTTAGTAGTACATCAATATTGTCTTTAAGAAATTTAAGAAAATATCATAGCGGCCATATATGTCACTGTGCTGTTGTTTGCCGAATTTCTATCGCGGCTCTGCATCTTTTATTCTTTTCAGTGAGAACGTAACGTCCAAAATCAATCACATTCAAAGATCAAAGTCGGGGTTCAGGTCTAAGTTGTTCGGCTGTTTCTGATCCGGATCAACGCCGACCAAAAATAAAACAAAGGGAAAGAGCGTCCTGCCAAGCAAAGAGATTAGAGAATTAATCCCGGCCAGTGGCTGAGTCGGCTAGCATTATAGCCAAATATAGAACGCAGTGATTGGTGCTTTCGTAGTGACGTCATCTTCTAAATACCCAGTTGCTGGTCACCTGGCGTTTCTCTTGGAAAGGACACCTACCGGGTAGTGTCATCTGCCATTCTAATCTTGTAATCCATTGCTCGAGAATTCGTTTGTACTTGTCTATTTATATGGATATTGTCTCCTACCAAAGTTTACTTTCTCCGACTAATTGTGTACCTAATGGGATGCTTGGAAAGAGAGAATAATTATCTCCAATTTCCAATACCCAGTTTGGTATTACTGCATCCGTGATATACTTACACCTGAACACAGCGAAATGAAGGACCACAATACTGAAAGAATGAATGCGAAATATGCATTGTACTCGATAAGATTGTATTTCCAGATATGCTATACAAGAAATTGTATACAAATATGCTATAAATTATTGTCAATTGGAAAAACGTTCATAAAATTATAATGTTTCGAAAAAAAAAGAAAAAAAAACAGTCGACGATGCATTTCCCCGATTAGGCTTCATTAGATCGAAGGCATGTGCATATATATTTTGTATGCCTTAAATGGGCACGTGGCCGAGTGGTTAGAATGTTCGCATTCTGAACATGAGACCCGGGTTCGAATCTCACCATGGTCGATTTGTCAAGAAAGAAACAGCTTGATGTTATCGGACTGAAGGGGTCTATCTCAGCTTGTGGCAAAGTGCCTGAAAACCATACCACGAGTTGGCCCAAGCTTTGTGAGTGAACCCTTGGGCT